ACAGTCATGCCTTAAACTCATGCCACTGATTGTCCCAATGTTGCTGCGTCAAAATGGACACAATGCTAAGACAAAACATGTTCTGATGTTGCTGCTTTTTTTAGTAGAGATGTGCAAATCTACTTACTTTCAACTTTGACTAGTTTGTGGTTAGCTGGCTTTTAGGACGTGTATTTGCATTGGGGCAAATCTGTATGCTAGCATACTCCTGAATGTTGACAGAATTAACTTTTAGCATATATTCGCTTCTAAAATATTCTTAAAATGATCTTTTTCTCCTAGTAAAACTGCCCAAAAATATTGATGATTCATCCTGTACACAGATTTTTGTCCAGTCAAATGCTGCATCCCCATGCAACCAACCAGCTGGTAGTAAATTATAGTTCAGGACTGATGTAACTGCAGCTTATTGGCTTTAAAAAAAAAGGTTGGGGTTAGCAAGATTTTATTTGAATTAATTAATACTTGTATTCACCAAGGATGCATTAAACTAATCAATAGTGATAGTAAGGATATTTATAATGGTACAAAAGAGCTCTATTTCAAATACATAATTTTAAAAAACTTTCTATTCATCAGCGAATCAGCAAAAAAATATATTTCGGTTTCCACAAAAATATTAAGCTGCACAACAGCTTTCAACATGCTAATAATAAGCAATGTTGCACAAAATCTTTGTATTGGAATGATTTCTAAAAGATCATGTGACACTGAATAAGACTGGAATAAGGACTGCTAAAAAAAAAATCTAAATTCTGCCATCACAACAATAAATCACATTTTTCACGGATTTTTGATCAAATAAATGCAGCCTTGGAACTTTTTTCTAAAACATTATACTGACCCCAAATTTTTAAACAGTAGTGTATGTTACATATTTTAACATAAAAAAATTAGAACAGCCATCAGCTTTAATTCAGAAATGACCAGTGTTTGCTGCTCATGAATTTGATTGCTTTTTTTGTACCAAGCTATTTTTAAGCATTATTTTAACAACTTAAACTGTCTTAAATACATAAATACATCATAAACTAGTATTAGAAATAATGAAGCAGCTATTATTTTCACAAGCTTCTATAATGAGCAAGCACAAATTCCAATGGCCTAAATAATCACCAGACTCCGATTTAATTGGAAGTTGCTTATGAGCTGATCTTTCCTGGGCAGGCTTGATGGGCCATTGATCAGTTCTTGTTGATGGCCAGAACACGCTCTGTTTTCCTCTCTCGCCCCCCTCTTTTCCTCCCTCGCGCTCCTTGTTTAGAACAGTCATATGCGGTATTCCCACCGAGAGCTCAGAGAGCGGGAATGTAGGAAGCATCTGGAGCCTGGTGAGATTACTGTGCGAGCCGGCACGTTGCCACCAAGTGTCCGTTAAGAGGCAGGGGCTTTTTGATTTAATGCTGGCGCTTGATTGGAAAGCTGGCGGGAACTGCCGCCTCACTTTGAACTTAAGAAAAAAAAGTCTGCTTGCAAAGCCACACACATTAGAGCAGACTGTGACCAAACAGAATGATGCATACTTCACATTCTCATTTGACCACTGTTTACATGCTGCATCCTGAATTTATCAATGCCTTTTAGATGCTTCAGAGACATACCAAAGCAGTCAGCAGTAAAAAAAAAAAGCATGGGAAGAATGTTTGGTTGTTGTATGGTCTGTTGCATTTACTGGTAGCAAATTGAGTTCAGTTTCTTAACACATTAGGTATCATGAACAATGATCAACATGTTTTTGTAGCATTTATTAAAGTTAGTTTATGCTAACAAATAAAGACTAATCTATTCGCTCTGTATTTTTTGTAGCTTTTAATTATTGGTGAATATGCAAAAGCTCAATGTGGCTTAAAATAGGGTACAGAGACTCAAGGGTGGGGTGCAGTTTTCCAGTGCCCCCTTCCTCCTCCTCTTCCTTTAGAATCAAGAATACCACAGAGTGGAGAAAGAGATGCCTGTTTTGGAGACTCTCCTTGGCGCTGCAGACCGCACAGTCATGTGAAGGAGCAGGGTGTGATTGCACGTGAACTTGGTTCCAGCTCAGAGAGAGAGAATGAGTAGTGTGTATGTGTGTTAAGTCATGGAGAAGGCTTAATCCTCACTGACTCTGAAGAGAAAATAAAGATCCAGAGGGAGTTCAGCGCACTCTGTGGTGCCTTGTGACACGGTCTAAAGCTCTCTGATTTTTTAATCAATTTTTTGTAGAGTAGGCGTGTTGTAAAATGTTCATAAATGCACATCTGTGAGCACACAACCCCTTGTGAAAAAGTATACTTTAACATACTTTTTTTTAAAAAGTGTATGTATTCTATAAATAATATGCTTTAAAAGAATATACTACTGTGTTCAGACTCCTAATTGCACAACAGAATATTGATTTAAACAGTCATTTAAAATGTACTCTTAAAATGTTTCATTTGCAATCTGTACTTTATAAGAAACATAATAATGAAAGTGAATTCTCTTTAATTACACTTAAGATGCCATTTCATTAATATTGGATTCTCTGTAATGTACTTTAATATACTATACTAGATTTTAATATACTAGTTTCATCATTCAGTTAAAGGGATAGTTCACCCAAAAATGAAAATTTGATGTTTATCTGCATACCCCCAGGGCATCCAAGATGTAGGTGACTTTGTTTCTTCAGTAGAACACAAACGAAGATTTTTAACCGTTGCAGTCTGTCAGTCTTATAATGTAAGTGAATAGAATCACGGCTTTGAGAGTAAAAAAAAAACATACACAAAACCAAATTAAACCCTGCGGCTCGTGACGATACATTGATGTGTAAAGACATGAAACGATCAGTCTGTGCAAGAAACTGAACAGTATTTATATCGTTGTTTTTACCTCTGATGCACTGCAATGTCTGAACTGTCCTGAGCGCGTCCTTGACAGCCGGCGCATGACGCATCTTCTTCCATTGACCATTGACACTCTATCTACAATCTCAATTAGGAGTGCCAATGGTCCATTTGAGAGATAGGTGGTGGTAACTGGTAATGCATGTATAAGTCTGCGATCTGCTGTAAAGCAAGAAGAAGAAGAAGAAGATGACGCCTCACTCGCCGGCTGTCGAGGACGCGCTCAGGACAGTTCAGAGAGTTTAGACATTGCAGTGCATCAGAGGTAACATTATTTCAACCAAATTTTTACATTTTATCCTCCAAAAACTTATTTGAAACCTTAAAAGTAGACACTTTACTTACATTTAATGTGCTTTCTATGGACATAAAATCACTTTTGTAAATTTCTTTTGATGCCGACATCTTAACGCCTTTTACCCACATATAAACACACTCTCTGGAATGCACCACCTTGTTTTAATCTGCACTTGTGCAGTATTAAAATGTTGCAATGTAGGCTGTTGTATTGGTAGAAGTATAATGCACCTGTGTTGATTCACATTTTCAAGCACACTTCTAGTTACAAACTGCAAAAATCAGTTGCAAAATTCTTTAGACCCAAATACACCAGCTACCTGTCTAACTTTTGTGCATGTAAAACTTACTGCTTTTCAGTAGATGAGATTAAATCACAGCAGCCTACATGGAGCCTATACTACACACTATGGCTCTGTCTATCCAAATCTTGCAGTTTTCCTGTGAGGGTTTTCTTTAAAAAAAAAAAAGGCAGATGTGGTTGGAAAAAACTGTGCAGAGAGACATCGTTCTTTATGAGACCTGTATGTTTGAATGAATATGCCCATGTATTCTAGAGTTCTGCAATTATGTATGCAGGGCTGCTGTGCCCATTTCCTGGAATGCAGCACACGGAGTCGTGAAAGAGACTGTGTTTGCTGTGAGAAGACAAAGCCCAGGCACTAATCAACATATGTTTAGAACTACGGCCCCTTCTAGGAACGTCCTGGAATGCCAGGGGTGCAGCGCTGGTTTGAGAGAGTGCGCGTGCGGAGCAAAGGGAGGGGGTCATACAAGGAGCGTGTTTGTCTCTAGAAAGAACCAAACCTTTCACTGCCTCCAGTGTTTCCTGCGTTTCTGCGGTTGCTTTGATAGTCACCTCTCTGTGGGTGTGCTGATATAAAAATTTACTTGGTGCTGCTAAGTGGTTCTTAAAATGACCTTTTGGAGGATGCAGCTGTATGAAAGACTTGCGTTGAGCAAATCTCCTGACATGAGCACGGTCAAAACGGTTCATGCTATGAAGCTATTAAAGTAAAGGAATCACCTTCATGTTGTTCCAAACCAGTGTCTTTCTGTTCAACACAAAATGTCATATTTTTAAAAATGTCCTTACAATGAAAGTTAGTGGGATCCAGTGTTTTGGACCCCAATGTTGAAAAGCATTCTTCAAAATCACGATAAAATCACGACAAATGTTCTCAGTTTTGTTAACCCTTTTTATTTTATGGGTGTGTGCCCATCTGTCCCCACACATTTTGTTTGTAAGAACACTTGGTCCTAAAACAAGGAGGGAGAAGATAAGCCGCTGTGTTTAGCCTCAGAGGACAGACGCACCTGTTTTTAGTTGTACCGTTAGTCTGATTGATGGGCCCCCTAAACTGGGTGGTCTGGACTGATGTTGCTGGGTAGTTGTGTGTTCGGAGCTGTCAGACAGATATTTAGATTTACATGTTTATTATTTATACATCTAAACTATTATGGAGACCTGACTTTCTCAAATTATCAGGCACGATTGTAATTTAAAGGATTCGTTCACTCAAAAAATAAAAATTCAGTGTACTCGCCCTTATGTCAGTGTACTCGCCCTTATATTCTAAACCTGTGTTTGTTTCAACTGTTTTTGTCCATAAGTGAGATTCAAAATATTACAACTTCCTACAGCACACCGGTAATTTACCAGTAAAGATTATATGTGTGACAGGGGTTAATGTCTTTTAAAAGTATGTAGTGAGTTTGAAAGCACCTCAAGAAGCATTTTATCTCATTTATCGTATAAATTGTCTATACGTGATACTGTGTATGCAGTAAATTCTGCTTCCGTTTTAATCTTGCTGCATTTTTGTTTTGTTGTAGAATTTTCTCCTTTTACTTGGCACAATAACCGATGGCAGAGAATGTCGACGACTAATAACATAGCCCAGGCAAGGAAGTTGGTGGAGCAGCTGCGGATCGAGGCAGGCTACGAACGTATTAAGGTACACAAGATTTCATTATTCTGTGTAACATTCTTTCTATAAAGCAATGTTTTTTTCTCTTTTTAATCAAGATGGAAGCGTAGTGGTTGTATGAGGAAAACTGTTTGAATAATCCTGTTAAGTTTTATGTAAAAAAAAAATAGCAGCTGTGTTTGTCAGAACATCAGAACACTTTGACGGTATTACAAGGTGTATCCTTCCCAGTCCACGAGGTATTCCAGCTGACCACCACAGCGCCGGGACTGCAGAATTTCCTTCACCTTGTAGACCGAGCCTTCATCCAGGATCAAGGGAAGAGGGGGTTCCTCCGTCTGGCCAGGCTCTGTGGGGAGAGAAACAGGGTCATGGTGAGGTTTGAGTAGTGACATGTGGAACGTGGGATGAATTCTGTATTGTGAGGGGAGTTGGAGTTTATAAGTGACTGGGTTTACTTGCTCCAAGATGGTGAAAGGGCCAACAAATCTGGGACTGAGCTTTCTACCGCCGGAACATCAGAAGGCTCCCCTGACCAGGGGAACAGTGGCGGCTGGAACTAGAGTACGCACTGGAAGGGAGTGAGACCAGTAGAAGGCTGTGGAATTCTGGGCGTACTCGCCCCAGCCCAGGAACTGGTTCCAGGAATCCTGGTGGCCATGGCAGAAGGTTCGT